GTCTCCCTCTGTGTCCTGGGCCAGATTGGCTGGGATTAGGTAAAAGTGTGTGCTAGATGTGCTAGGGGGTGATGCCAACGTGCTTGTCCATGCCAAGATTAGATGCTGTAGGCAAGCATGAAGTCAAACTCAAGAGACCTGGGGAAACTCATGGTTTTAAGAGAAGCGATCCAGGTTTTGATGTCAGATTAAATCCTGCCTTTTGGATCTGTCCCTTAACCCTTCTTGCTTTGATTTCCAGTCTGCAAAATAATGATATCAGAATCTGTCTCACAAGGAAGTTGTAAAGATAATTCACAGTAGAGATGGTGAAATACTCAGATGTCGTAAGTGGATCTAAAATAAACCTGGTGGTTTTGAACATTAAACTGTGATCTGAATATCTGTTGGCTCCCTTTTTCAGGATGGTCCGTGCTGGTGACGAAGGTTTCCACAACACGGCAGTTTCCAAGGAAGATGGTGTTTTACTCTCCTGTATGTTTTCATTAGCATTTTAAATCGGTTTTGCGGTGTTTATTTGTGTGGTGACACTGCAGAGAGGTGCCAGGCAACAGCAGTGTTACCGAGTATGTAAGATTAGCAGATACAGAGCGTTGAACGGGCTCAGAAGGAATGAATGAATCAGCCAGGTTAGACCCGTTTCTGTTGGGGTTTTAGAGAGGGAAGAGTGGTGGAAATAAAAGGAGCTATTGCCACAGAAGAGAGGATTGGGAAACTTGGAGGCAGGGGTAGATAGGGGACATAAGCTAAATTTCACTCCTTTAAATTTGGAATTAAATGCAAGGGCCAAAAAGAATGGAAACTGAAACTGGTAAGAGTGGAAGTGGATGGAAAGTGCTGGCCAGAGAGGTGGTAAGGTGTGGGACCCTGCTGCAGCTTTACCGTGAATAGGTGGGTAATGTGAAATGACTTGGTGGTCGAACAGCGTTCAGGGCAGGCTTCTGCACCCTCAGATCCGTAGGGCAGGGTTTCAGCCCCGCAAAGCAGTTTTGGTTTGTACTTTGGTAGATAAAGTTTTGTAGAGGGGCTTTTCACAAGGGTGTGGTAGTGATAGGAGAAGGGGGAATGGCTCTAAACTAACAGAGGGCAGATTGAGATGAGATATTAGGAAGAAATTCTTCCCCATGAGGGTGGTGAGGCCCTGGCCCAGGTTGCCCAGAGAAGCTGTGGCTGCCCCCTCCCTGGCAGGGTTCAAGGCCAGGTTGGATGGAGCTGTGAGCACCCTGGTCTGGTGAAAGATGTCCCTGCTGATGGCAGGGTAGTTGGAACCCGATGATCTTCAAGGTCCCTTCCAACCCAAACCATTCCATTATTCTGTGATTCTATAAAGACTCAGGAGTTAATTAACTGAGCTGTGAGATTTTTGAAGAAAAAGTAGTTTCCCAGGAACGCCCTCCTAACGCAGAGCTGGTCACTCCCCTGCATCCACGGTCCGCAGCAGGACAGTTTGCAGCCTGTAACACCCTGGAGTCATTTGACGACAGGTTGCATTTCTTAAAGCTGTTTGTTGGCGAAACTCACCTGTGATTTCCATACTCTCTTCAAGGTTCATCACCATCTGCTTACGACATTGTCATGGTGTCTCTCAGCGGAAGCATCTTGCTGTTGGTCGCCATCAGCGTAGCAGTAAGCGTTCTCCGGAGGTGAGCGTTAGGGCGGTAGGAGAGGACCTGGGGTCCCCAAGGAAAGGTGTGCAGCACTGACATCCTCTGGGAGCCGGGTGTGATCAGGGAGCCCGCGGGAAGAGCCTGCCAAGCCCCAGTGCTCCGTGGGGTCCTCCTTCACGTGGGCTCTTTCTCCATTAGCCCGCAGCAGGGGTCATTAGTGGTGGCTGGCGAGTTGCTAGGCTGGGGGCTTAGATAATGCCAATTTAGACTCAATCATCTAGGTTGGAAAAGACCCTTAAGACTGAGTCCAACTGCAAACCTAACACTGCCAAGTCCACCACTAAACCCTGTCCCTAAGCGCCACGTCTACACATCTTTTAAACACCTCCAGGGGTGGGAAGTCCACCACTGCCCTGGGCAGCCTGTTCCAATGCTTTACAACTCTTTCAGTGAAGAAATTTTTCCTAATATCCAATCTAAACCTCCCCTGACACAACTTGAGGCAGTTTCCTCTCATCCTTTGGCTAGTTACATGGGAGAAGAGCCCGACCCCACCTCACTACAACCTCCTTTCGGGCAGTTGTAGAGAGCATTAAGGTCTCCCCTCAGCCTCCTCTTCTCCAGACTAAACAACCCCAGCTCCCTCAGCCGCTCCTCACAGGACTTGTTCCCCAGGCCCCTCACCAGCTTCAGTACTCTTTAGGGCAATGACATTTGGTTTTGTTTTATATCTGGACCAAATTCTTCTCCCTCTCCCCACATTCTATTGGAATGCATATTTATACGTGTTGAAATTTTATGGAAGAAAATTAAGACACTCAAGCCCCTAATTTCTCACTACCGCCAACACATTAATTTTTTTTTTCCAAGCACAACCTGAAGTCACAAGAAGAGGGACGTTCCTTGAGATCTTTATTTCTATAACGAGAAAGGAAACAATATGTTTTGAGAGAGCTCTTCAAACAAAAATTTTATTCAGCTTTAGTTTGAGTGCGTCTAGGCAAATGGAGGAGGATGATGGGGTCATAAGACTTGTTTTATGCTAAAGGACAGGAAGATGAGGGGGAGAGGAAAAGGTGACCTCTGTAATTAATGAAATGAGCTCTACCCCAGCTATCAGTTCTGTGCTGCCATTGGTTATATCCTGTTATTAATTGGATTGGGTTCAAAATACAAACAGCTCTTTGTGCTTGTCTGACACCTGATGATTTGTTTTGCTCCATTTTTGTTGTGCCAGGCGCTGCATGTCGAGTAATTCCTCCAAAGATCTCAATACACTTGTGGTGGTGGAAAATACTACGGTGAGGAACCGTAGCTCTGATGATAAGATTTCAGTGGTGGATTTGACTGGCCCGGTGTGTATAAGTTACATTTCTGACAGTCAAACCGTATCCCCGGAGTTTGCCGTCTCTGAAGAGACAATTTCCATTTCTGAGTTACCGTTCTTCTCGTTTGCTGTCTCAGTAACAAAGAGCGGATGGAGGATTCGGGGGTGGATGCTGGCCGTGGACTGACATTCCCCACTTTGTTTTCTCCAACATAGCTTTGGACTGTGAACTTGTACCACACTGGTATTAGAAAATGCAGGAAAATTGGATTTTTGTTATGGAAGCGGAGAAAAAAGCGTAGATGTATGTACCTTACGTCAGTGATGTGTTAAAAATTTACTGTAGAGACACACATCTTTCCATATTATCTCCTTCTGTGGGATGAGTCATGGGAAGAAAATGCAGGGGGGGATTTCTGGTGATGTTTACAAAGATTTCCCAACTCCTCTGTCCCCATGTGAATCCCAGGCGTTGCGCCGAGACCTAGCCTTTTGCAGGCGGTTTCCTGCTAGCTGTACACTCTGCGGCTATGCGAACGTTATCAGACAGATTGCAGTCTCTTAAATCCCCAGGTCTATGAGGGTTTTTGTAATCTGCCCACTTTTACAGCCGGAAGGAAGATACTATCTTATTAACCTTCAACCTGAGTGCTGCAGCCTTTCCAGCGCTGATGACCTCTGCCTCTGGCGTGACACCGGCTTGCAAAGGAAGAAGCCTGGCTGGTGGCAGTTAGAGAGGTGGGTTAGTCTGAGATCTGGCATGGAGCGGGGTAGGTGTGCTCCCTGGATCTGGCCAGCCTAGCCCAACTTCATCCCCGTTGCTAATTACTGCTAGGAAACCTGCGAGAGCTGCGGGGTATAGATTTTTCCGTTTATCTTACCAATTTCTTGGCCTACCTCCTGCGTGTTTTCCATACAAGTAGATGGAAAGTTGAAGGAAGCAGGAGAAAAGCCCTTTGACCAGTGGGTGTTCCTCAAAAAAGGGGTCTGGTGTGGTCTGTTGCTCCTTTGTGCTCACGTGTTGCAGAGCATGGAAGTATCTGCAGGATCCTTAGGGCACTTAACAGATTGGAAGGGTTGTTGGCATCAGCGGCTGTGCCTTAGCTAACGGCTTTAGCTAACCTCGGTGGAGGTGATGCTCTCAGGACTCATGTTTTCTAAGGTCCACCAAACGTATGAACAGGAAGGCTACAGCCTCTGAATTTCCTCCTCTTCCAGGCTTAGATGAGGCCAGCCGTTCCCTGGGGAAGCTGCTGATGGAGGGTCTGGCCCCAGCGGGACACACTGTGACACCGACACGCTCGTGCACAGTCCCGTACGTGATGCTTTTCGAAACGCAGACTCAGGGCAGGCACAGAAGGATGAGGCTCTCATGCACAGATCCACGTAGGTGTTAGGCATTCCACAGACCCGAGTGAAAATCCGTGCCCTGTGCTGCAGAGGCGGTTGAACCACGTCCATATTTGCCCCAAAAAGGCAGTCTGAGTAACTTTTCTGTTAGCAGAGGTGGAAACCAGACGTGACTGTGAAGCTGAGGCCATGCCAGCCATCGGTGGCGGCGGCTCGGCCACAGGAGGGTCCTTTAACATTAGCCATATTCCCATTCAAAATATTGCAACTGACCCCATTTTCCAGGGTGCTATGGAACCATGTCCGTGGTGGCAAATGCCAGCTCCTCGCCTGTAAGACGCTGTGACGCCTTGGTCTCCCGCTTCCCACACCTCTGTTCGGTGAGCTGCTCCTGGCTGTCCGCTGCCCGTAGCAGCAGCCTCAGGCACCCCTTCTCTTTGCTCTCCTTAATGCCCCTGCTCTTCCTTCACACCACTCACAGCGCAGAGACAAAATTCCCCCCACCTTGTCACAAGTCATGGAGCTGTTTCCTCATCCTCCTCTAAATCCCTCCTGAAGACCTGCCGCTGCCTCAACGCCGGCAAATCCTGACTGTGTCGGCAGTAAGGCAGGGCTGAGCAGAGACTTCCAATTCTCTGACAAAGTCTGTTTGTTTTCTTGCTGCCCTGTTCCCCGTGTTGGCCTGCTTTTGATATCCACTGTCTTCCAGCTGAGACATGGACTGGCAAATCCCTACGCCTCTCGTCTCTGAAAAGTATCTGTATGGTACCGAGCATAACGGGCTTTGGTTGCGGACTGGTGTCTTCCAGCACGAACACAGCACAAACGGTGACTGGGGTGGAGATGCCGATAACCACAGTACAATATGGTGTAACATAATGTGATGCTGTACTATTGATGAGAAGAAGATGAAGAGCAGCGTGTGTGTGTGCGTGTCTGTGTGCACGCGGTAGACAACAGACGACATTTAAAGGCAATTAACGGTTACAGAGCCAAGCACGATAAACTTAGGAAATGGCATTAATAAATTTAGGTGTAAATTCAGAATTTTGTCTTTGTTTTTCCTTTGTTCTTCAATCTTCTTTTGTATGTGGAGACATATGAATGTCCTCTCAAGGTACCAATCTTAGGAAAGCTTAGAAAGGCTGTGATTCTGTGATTCTGTTCACTTTCCAAATGAGCCAGGGCAGAGATGATACTGCGCGGCACATTTAGAGTCACGGACAAGACCAAGATCTTTTCTGTACTTCACTGCTGAAGGGTAAGAACCAGACACTTGTTCTTGCAAATGTACAAAATCTTACTGCCACTCCCAGCTTTGGTGGTTAAACCAAACAGCTGGACATTAAATCAGTTAAACATTCGGTTTGTGCTTACGAGAGATGCGTTACATCCGCAGGATGCATCGTTAACCTTTGCAGCAGTTCGACGGTGCAATAGGGGTGATGACTAAAGGGTGACAAAGGCTTCAGTTTAACTGCGAGACGTAGCCATGGGATTTATTTATAGCACCTAACTGTGTCACAGAACCTAAATTTTTCACAGGCACAGAATTTTTCAGTTAAGGGAGTTATTTGTGGTAGAGGTTGGTACATGGCAGGCAGGCGTAAGGATTCTCCTTGATTCAGTGCCCCCTTCCACATAGCACGATGGTTTGTGTCCGTTCAGAGCCCTGTTAAGGTAAAACCACGACGTAGCAAGCTTCCTTCTGGACTCTGAGGGTGAATATTTAAAGTCTGCTCATCTTCAGCTCGCAAGGCGTTGCCAGGCCCATGGGTGAATGTCTGGAGGAGGAAATTGTCAAAGCTAGTCCAGAAAATAAACTCGGGAGATGGTGGCAAGCGAGGCGACGGGTGTAGGGACTGAAGCGGTGAGAAGGCTGCCTTTGATCCTGGTATTCGCTCACCAGGAATAAGCTAAGGTAATCCTGAAAACTTGCATGCAACAAGCTCGAGTCTCGGTAACTGTAGAGGATAGTTAGGCCCGAGGAGCTACGCCCTGTCCGACGATATCGAACGATGAACTGAGAATAAAAAATACCGAGGTCTGCACAATTCTTCACCAGCCTGAAGTTTAATCCTTTGATATCTGTAAGGTGGTTTAAAACCCTCCTTTATGGTGATCGACTGCACGCTGCAGATGGCAGCGCAGGAATTTACTGCACTGAAACGTAACACCTTAATGAAGAAAAAAAAAAAAGCTTTCCTTCTAATGCGAGCAACTTTGGTTGGTTTTCCCTTCAACCACGTAACATGATGATTCAGAGATAAGGCTCGTGCGGTTGGTAAGTTGCCATGATGGATTTTACAAAGGGGAAAAATCACGTCAAGTTTATGTAAGCTTGATAGCAGCTGCTCTTTGTAAATACATCTTAATTAGGGGTAAAAATACTAAGCCATAACTTGTATACTTACTTTTAAAACCTCAATTTTTTTTTTACTTCCAGAGCCATAATTCTAAACATTAGCTCTTCACTGAGGTTAGTATTTATTTATAGGTTGGATACCGTAAGGAGGTAGCCCAGGAAATGCTGCTTGCTGATGGTGGTTGTTAGACGTGCCTGTTTGCGACCCCTCATATTTATCTGTATTTAATTATAGAACTACTGCCATAATGCCCTAAGTTATGTCTGAGAACAAAAGGCAGTTCCATTTGTGAGACCATTATAGGCCAGCACTCACAGCTTCTTAAGAAACAGTAATGACCTTCGGGATGAAATCTTTTCAGCCCAGTATTGACTTTGTATGTATGGAGTTTGGTAAAAATCAAGATCAGCCTTTTTTATTATTCATAGGCACACGGAAAAAGATGGTTTGTATAATTAAAAAAAGCTTTTTGCAAACTTTGGGGGCCTCTGGGTAACTAGATATGGCTCCATTTTAAACTGTTAAGCTGCTAGTTTTGAGGAGGGAAAAAATTTAAAGATCGAGGTGGGAAATAAAGAAGTTATGTTGGAATTCCTGAGCTTGCGAGTGTGTGTTCACATGTGGCAGTACCCCCGCGTAGTGCCACTAACTGCTGACGTGCATGAAGAATTGCAGAATCGGAACCAACATCTGGAAATACTTTGAGCTTTCGTATAACAAAACACTTCGCCGTACGCTTAAATAATATTGATTTCACTGGAAGTACAATGGATGTTTTACTTGATTCGATGAACTGAGACTGAACTCCTTTTCCAGACTGAAATGACAGATACTTTTGACCAGATGACAAAATTCTGATGAATATGTTTGATTTTTGTTCCATCTCTATTTAATATTAGTAAATGTGGGGGCAAATTAGTAAAAAAAAATGCTCTGGCTCTGATGATGGGTTGCTTTCTCTCACTTCCAGTTCCAGCTGTTACAACATGATTTAATTTAACAGTAGTGATTGTTTCGATGCATAACACGTCATCGACTGTATTAAAGCAAGTGTTTCGGAAAGGGCAGCTGAAGGCAAGAGGAAGCTGAGGTGTGGGCTACTTCGTGGCTAATTTGCACGGTGCCTGAGCGTCTGTCGATCCCGATGCTCGACACACGGCTGAAGGATCAGATCACTTTGTGCTTGCTGGTGAGTGGATCTTAACCCCCAGCTGCAGCACGGCGATCTATAATATTGGTAAAGTGTGAATAATTTACCCAGATCACATCAGAAGTCTGTGGCAGGGCAAGGAATCGAGGTGGGGGTCTCTCCAGTCCACCGCATTAAGCCCAGAGTTACCATTTCTAACACGGCGAATGAGTCTAATAGCCATCAAACTGCAGTGATTAGGCAAATCGTTGTACCCTGACTGAGTAATAAAAGCTATCAACCAGCCGGAGTTAAGGGGTCTGCACATCGTGTGATTACTGAGAAATAAAAGCGAAGTGATTGTGCAAATCACCTCCTTCAGTCAATCGGACTGAAAGATGCAAGGGCAAAAAAAGTGTATTTATACATCAATAACTACAGAGCATCCCTGAGCTCCAGCTATTGGTATTTTTATTATTTGACTGCGAAAGCAGCCAAAGTACCCGGTATAAAATATAATTGTTTTACTTTGGATTCTGCGAGGAATCTGGACTTTGGCAGTCATTGCCTTTGGGATAAATGACAAGATCTGAGCTGAATTCACAGAATCACAGAATGGTGGGGGTTGGAAGGGACATCTGTGGGTCACCCAGTCCAACCCCCTGCCCAAGCAGGGTCACCCAGAGCAGGCTGCACAGCACCGCGTCCAGGCGGGT